ATCTGCCCTGTCAGTCTGCAGCCAATCACGAAGAGCGTGGCGTTGATTGGCTGTCTAGGGCGGCTTCAGCAGCGAACTGACCAGGAGCGTGAGACGGACAGAAAGGCATGAGCAGACAGTCAAACTGGCGACCACGGGAGCGGACTGCCCGAGGGCCTTTCAGGCCACTCCCATCTCCCAATCCACCTCATTTTCACGCCGTTAGGAGGTGCGAGCGGTCTGTTGGAATCCGCACCGAGGTCAGCGAGAATATTTTGATTGCGAATGTTATCAGTCTGTCTAATAAGCAGTAGCCCTTTGTGCACGGACATTAGGGCCACTGTCCCTTACGCACCAGCACTACCAGGATGTTCGTCAATGTTGACAATAACCGGCGAACTGTCACGTGTGCATATATTAAATTCTGTAACACATGATAGTCGATGACTCAAGGCCAGGCAAGATCTTATTTCGTAGCCGTACCTGTTAGGGGTTTGGGTTTGGAGTTAAAGTTAGGGTTCTGAGTTAGGGGTTAGCGGTCAGGTTTAGGGGGTTAAGGTTGGTAGTTGGGTTTAGGGGTTAAGGTTATGGGTTCGAGTTGGTGTTAAGGTTAGGGATTGGGGTTAGGAGTTAGGGGTTAGGCTGGAGCTTGTCGATTGCATGTACGGCTACAAAATAAAATCCGACCCAGAGCCACGCCAATCCCCACACCCAGTCTCCTCACCAACAAGTTTACTTGCTCGGACAGTCGTTTGGTGCACGAGTGAGTGAGGCCGATGCTGAGGTTTCCATAAATCAGCGTATTCAGCACAATAATGAATTTTAGAAGAAACAGTGGCGAGCGAAAGTTGCTTTCGATAACTTCTCGTCAGGCCAGCATAGTTATATGGGACGGGGTACAGTAAGTGAAAAAAATCGATAGAAGTTAGTTTTTAAAATACAGGCTAGGCAAGAGCGGAAGGGCGCGGAAAGTTGTGTGTGGTTAGTCAACCTTAAGCCATGGTAAGCGCGGAGCCTGAACGAGGTTCTTCTGGGCGCATAGAGTCGGTTCTCGTAACCTGATGGCGGCCGCTTCTGCTGTTTCTAACAGGCGCTGGTCCAGTAGCTTAGGGTAGTTCGAGGGGACCTTATAAATCACACGAAATGCTTCAGCGGGGTCCACACGATGCCCTGAATCCACTGCATGCGCAAGGGTGGCGCTCTCTATTCTCCTAGTTTCACCTTTTACCAGCCATGCGGGAAGGTGCTCTCGTATTCTTTTGGAAAGGTGCCGACTCGTACGACCAATATAACCTGCGCCATAGGAGCAAGTGAATGAGTAGATGCACATTGAGGCGGTTTGAGCTGGCAGCCTATCCTTGCCTTCTCCGCGCAAAATAGGGTTAGCAGAGAATGATTTGCGAACCCTTGCTGCTGGGAAGATTCACGAGACAGCTTGGTCAAGGCGTCTTCTTAGGAGTTCACTTGCAGCGTCTCCTTGGGAAGGGACTTTGAGGAACAATGAATGTGACGCTCTTAGAGTCGTGACATGGATAGCTACCAACTGACGGAATAAATCGGTCTTTCTCTGAATTAAGTGTCGCGCTGCAATGGTTCCTTTTTAATGTGACATTCACGGCATTTCTCGTTTCTGCCAGAGTCGGTTCCATGTTTGACACATGATAAACGGCGAGTTCATGTCACGTTAGCCAGTGCCTCCTATCCCACCACCAGCCGACTTGATTCCATGGAAGAGGGAAAAGGGGATGAGTTCGGAGCCAGAGCCTACCTCTCCGCACAAATCAAGCAACTGCATTTTGGAACTATCCCGACGCGCTAACAGTCATAGGTTGGATGGTTTCCAGCTGACAGAATAACTCAGGGCAAACGAACATGGTGCAATTAGTTATTAAACGTGGTTGTGGCGGTCAAGGATAGTAGACCAAATCTAACCACACACATGGTAGCTCGACCGTCGTTGCCGACGATGTGCACCGTGTGCTACACAGCAAGTTGAAGCAGGCACGGTGATTTGAGCGTGATTTACATTATAATGAATGCAGACTTGCGCAGCATCTATCACACTATCTCCTCCCCTCCCTCAGGGCCTGATGTCAAGATAGAGTAAATCAAGACCGGAGGCGGGGAAAGGCACAGGTGGATGGCACGGTCGTGCCCGCACCTTGACGCTCTACTCCGCATCCCCTTGTCCACACAGCAAGTGACCAGGTTTGGACCAACAACAAAAGGGTGGCTGACACGACCGCAGCCGCACCTGGGCGTCACTTTACATCTGGCTCGGATGCCACGGAGTGAGAGTGCCTTAATTGCCGCATTAAGAAGGAGCCACTGCAGCCTGGACCTTAGACCACTGGCCGTCCACTCCACACAAACACCTAACACTGGGCCGAATGCGAGGTCCAAGTTATCCCGTCAGTTGGCTTTTAGCGCACCGCGATAGCTTCAAGCGCTTCGGATTGTTTATAGTGAGGAAAGTGCGTTGAGCCGTCAACCTAACTCTCCCTTCCCATCACCAGGCCCTAGCCACTGTCCGAGTCGGTCAGTTAACTGCAGCCGGGAATGGGCACGGTGGCTGACATGGTCGAGTGATCTCTTCTGCGCGCGCCACATGCACACAAGCACCAGGATTTCACAAAACAGGGGTTGAACGACGTACATCTCATATGCGTGAGATTGTCGTTGGTTACGTTGAGGAGTCGCTCCAGTCTGACTCTCGGCCCACCCAGTCCGCCACTACACATTTACACTCACATCTGGGCAGTTGGGGCGTCAGTCGGCAGCCATCCAAGCCACGGCGCCTGGCGCGCCTTGACAGTCTCAGACTCGCAACACGCATGCGGCAGAGAAGCCGCATGGAGACGGAGCCGAGGCGCACACATCCCATTTGCATGGGAGGTGGCAGTTGGATGCTTGTGATGGATGATGACGCTGCGTGATGTAGGTGGAGTAAGATTTGATAGTGTGGTGTGGCCGGCGGTTGTCTATCGCAGGTTTTTCTGGACGCTCATGTGGCCCAAAGGCATGATTGCAAGGGCAATGTGGACGGTGGAGGCGGATGCGGCGGGTGTAGGTTAGTGCTCCAGTCATTGGTTTGTCAATCTCTGTGCGATGAATTCGCAAATGATCCGCCAGGCAGCTGTGTGGGGTGAAAGTGCGATCTCAATGAGAACAAGGATAGACCAGATTCACATCACTGGTGTTGACGGTGGTGGTAGTGGTGGTGTGTCAGGATTGTGTAAAGTGTTGGTAGGCATGGCGGACACCACAGCGGTGGATGAGGAGGAGGAGGAG